ATAAAGCAGTATGCATTCGTGATAGGTGGATTAAGATTATTAACCGTAGTTACAGTATTTAGCCACATTTATTTTTAACCCAGTCATTTTTCATACAAAACATCATATGAACATTCCTTTTTCAACAATACCAAACTGTAGTCATATTTGGCTGCTTTCACAATCTTTCAAATTTCAAACTTTAGATCTCACTCTTTTTTTTTTTTTTTTTTTTTTTTTTTTTTTTTCCTCTCTTTATATATACATATATATTGTTTTTTCTTTGTAAATTTTTGATGTGCGATGGCTGGTGATGATCAGTCAGTTCGAATTTTAAATTTTCGATAGTCAATAATAAGAACTTTAAACATTTTTGTTGAAAGCAATATTCATAATATGTACATTCACAATGTGTACATGATTTTCATGTAAGATTGAACTTGACCGGGTCTTACGAACTCGTCTGGCGTTCAATTTAATATTTATATCATTTATTCTCCGATCCTTGTATCATAAAATATAATAGATGTATTTTCATTAAATGATATTGAGTAAAATTACGTGGGATTAACTTATTTACATTTTTCCTGTGACTCATTTTTCAAATGATCAATAAAAATTTGATGGATAAAATCCAACATTTTATTTTATTCTCTTTCTTTTAATATCGGATTTCCCAATTATTTTTGAAATTTGAATCATGCAGAAGGCAACAACAACGACGTTCATCTTTTGCCCAACTTGGTAAGAAAGTACTGCAATGATATTATGATTTTCATAAATAACATAGTTTGATTTTCTTTGTTATAGTCGCAATATGTTACGGCCATCAGTTGATGCCGAAGACAAGCAACTTTACTATCGATGTAGTGCTTGTAGTTATAAACATTTTGCTGAAAAAGATGAATGTCTAGTCCGTTTCAGAGAAGTCAAACCTCCATCAAAGTAAATAAATCTTTACGTATTTAATTTATATTTTCCAGTGTTTCGGGCTAAACTAAATTCCTAAGTCCAAAATATTTCGTAGGAACGAAATAATTTTGATTTAACCCGCAAAATATATAGTAACTTTACACTTTTTAAAATTAGAAATATTTCGCCAGCGTGAAATAATTTCACCCGGGCGAATATTTCGAATTTGCCCGAAATACTGATTATATTTTTTTGTGTAATTTATGAAATTTGAGAAAATAATGGATTGGATGTGACGCGTGACAATTTAGTTACCTTAAAGAAACTTTAGAAACGATCAAATCCGATCCAGCCTTGACACGCTGTATTATCGATTGTATGACGTGTCAAGCCAGGACGGTGGCTGTGGAAATACACGAAAGGATCCCGACAAAAATGAACTTGTAATTTACAACCAATTTTTTTCCTTAATGAATATTATTCTTAAATTCGAGTATCCTTTACTACTCTAATTTTCATTGAATTTTAGAATATACGTATGCGAAGAGTGTAAAACGATTCAACGCCCATCACGTTTAATTAAGGCTATGATTTCCAATAAAGATGTATTTAAGAGTATTGAAAATATGAATGAGGATGGTAATCTTGAGCAAGAAACAGATCTTGTTTCTCAGGATCAAGAAGAAAGTACCACTGGTTGGGATGAGTTCGTGTATTCAGAATCACAAAATTTTTGATTGCATAAAGCAATGAATGATAGATCAATTTTATA